ACCATGCTTGCTAAAAGTGAAGAGGACTTAAAATATTTACTGATGAAGATCAGAGACCACAGCCTTCGGTATGGATTGAACCCTATAGGGCAGAGTAAACTGCCATATGATTTCCAAGGGTATAAATCTCTAGAAAGCAGACTGCCATATCTTTATCCTAAGGAGAGGTTGGTGGGCTCAAACTACCAATCTTTAGGTTAGCAGCCAGTCACTTAACCTAGGGCTCCTTTAAGAAAAAGCTAGGGAGCTGCAAAGCATTGTAATTAAGAGCTTGAATCTTACAGTCTATTATGAATTGAATTGTGCTCCCCTAAAATATACGTTGTAAATCCTAATCTCTGTACCTGTGTTATAATCCCATTTGGAAATGGGTTGTCTTTCTTTTGTAGGCTGTGTTCTAAATCAATCTCGCTCTCTTAAAAAAACAAAAACTAACTTTTTCTTGTTTTATGTCATTGATTGTAATAACCAAATGTAGCGCTTCCTCCCTGGGCTTCCCATTCCCATTCCTCTTTCTTTCCTTACCCTTTCCTGTCTTCTAAACTTTGTCCTTGGGAAAATGCTACCCTTTGATTCTCAAATGGCTGGTTATTCTAAGGAGTGAGCGCCTCCCTTGTGTTACTGTTCTCCTTATTGTCCTGTCTATCATCTGGTTGAAGGAACCCTGATAGCATAGTGGATTACAAACTAGGTTGCTAACCACAAGGTCAGCAGTTCAAATTTACCAGTCACTCCATGAAAGAAAGATGAGGCTTTCTGCTCTGATACAGGGTGGCTATGTGTCAGAACTGACTTGGTGGTGAACAACCATCACCACCACCATGTTGTTAAGTGTCGTCGAGTCGTTTCCGACCCCATAGCCAACAGGGTTTCCGAGGCTGAAAATCTTTACAGGAGCAGAAAGCCTCCTCTTTCTCCCGCGGAGCAGCTGGTAGTTTCGAACTGCTGACCTTGTGGTTCGCAGCCCGATTAGTAACCACTACGCTACCAGAGCTCCTTACCACCACCATAGCTTGGCGGAGAATTAAGCTATGGGGATGAGTTCAATTTCAGGCCCAAAGGATGACTAAGGGACACAGTCTCAAAGGTAACATCAGTTTCTATCCAACCAATAAGGCTGCATGTGTGTGGGTGTTTTATGATTTTGAGTTTTAGTCCACATTTTTCTCTCACTCTATCCAGGACAGTCTAGTATGATTCCTTTCAGAAGGGTCAGTAGTGGTCATTGGGCACCATCTGGTTCTTCTGGTCTCAAGGGTGTGGAGGCTGAGGTTCAATTGGCCCATTAGTCCACTGGATTCATTGTTTTTGTGAGTATTTGATTTTTTTGTCACTCTTCTTTGCTCCAAACAGGAAAAGACCAGTAAGTGTACCTTGGAGATTTTAAGCCCAAAGTTGCTGTTCACCAAACTTATAGATTACTATCTTTGTAGGATGCATTGTGCCAATCAACTTTCATGTTCCTGAGTACACAGGTCCAAGGGTTCATTCACACATGGTGTTGGATTATATCTGAAAGTTTTCCTAATCCTTCTTCCGCCTTTTCTTCTACTATTGTGGTTATGTGCTGTGGAGTCAGTTCTGACTCATAGCAATCATGTACAGGGTTTCCGAGACTGTAAATCTTTACGGGAGCAGAAAGCCTCATCTTTCTCCCACGGAACAGTTGGTTGTTTCGAACTGCTGACCTTAAGGTTCACAGCCCAATTCGTAACCACTACGCTACCAGAGCTCCTTCTACTATAGTCATGGATATATCTGCCTTATAGTTTAATATTCATATAGAAATATTCTCTACCAAGTGGTGAAGTATCTGTTCATGTCATCTGCCTATTTTTAAATTGGATTATTTGTCATTTTGTTGTAGAGGTGTTACAATTTTCTATGCATTCTAGAGATTTGTCCCTTATCAGATGTCATTGCCAAAATGTTTTTCCTACTTTGTAGGTTCTTATTTTACTCTTTTGGTGAAGTCATTTGATGTGCATAAGTTTTCGATTTTTAGAAGGTCCCATTTTTAGTTCATCTTCTACTGTTTATGTGTGTTTTAGTTATTTGTTTTGATAACGTATTTATGCCAAGTATTAGGGCCCTTAAATTTGCCCGTATTTTTTCTTTGATAGTCTTTATGGTTTTAGGGTTTACACTGTTCTGTTTTGAGTTCGTTTCTGTATATGGTGAGAGATATGGGACCCTTTGTTAAAGAGACTATCTCTTCCCCATTTACTAAGTTTTGACCCTTTGTTGAAGATCAGCTGTCCAAAGTTGGATGGATTTACTTCTGGTTGTCTTGGTTATAGTAATGAGCCAGGATTCATATAGGGTTTATTTTTAGTTAATCTCTTTCAATATATAAAACAAGGAACCAAGAGCAGCAGAGGTGGGAGAAGACATACCAAGCCACGGGATCGCCTGGGAGCAGAGCTCCATAGAGGATCTTCCTCCAAAACCTTTTGTTGTTATTGTTAAGTGCTTGTCAAGTCGGTTCCAACTCATAGTGACCCTTTATAGAGTTTCTGAAGAGCGGCTTGTGGGTTTGAACCACCGATCTCGTAGTTCAAAGCCATCTTGTGGTCCAGCATTTATCCTACAAAGCCACACCAGGACTCCCCTCCAGATATAGAGAGACATGTTTCTCCTATTGCTGGCACCTTGAATTTGGTCTCCTAGCCTCCTAAACTATGAGACTATAAATTTCTGTTTGTTAAAGCCACCAAATGTGGTATTTTTGTTATAGTAGCACTACATACCTAAGACAGACTTCCTGAGTCTAATTCAAGTGCTACCAATTACTGAGCCTTAATTTCTCTATCAGTAATTTAGAAATTATAATAACACCTATCTCCAAAGATAAACGAGGTAGTACAAATGAAGAGATCAGTGCATTGCTGGCACAAACAAGCACTTAATAAATGTTCACTACGTAGCGTAGTGGTTACGAATCGGGCTGCGAACCTTAAGGTCAGCGGTTCGAAACTACCAGCCGCTCCGCGGGAGAAAGATGAGGCTTTCTACTCCCGTAAAGATTTACACCCTCGGAAACCCTATACAGGGTCGCTATGGGTCGGAACCGACTCGATGGCACTTAACAACAACAACAACACTATTAGAATTAAGGCAGAAAAGTGATGTGGGAGATGGGGATCATGGTAACAATCTCATAGGTTTGTGGTGAATATTAATTACCACATACCAAGCGCTTGGCACAAGTTGGTAGATATTATTATTATCTGCAGTGGAGGGATTGGTCTAAGGTTTCTAGGAACGGGCCTAGAATATTCTGTGGCATGAACTAAGGTTCACAGAGTTCAATCCTTAAGAAGGATGCTTAGTTATGGAGATGGGGGAGGATGGAGTGAGGGGGGAGGGGTTGAAGCTTGACTACTTGCCAAGGTTGCCAGGCAGTTTGAACCCTGGAAGCACCTCAGATGAAAGGTGTGGAGATCTATTTCGGAAAGTCCAGTAACCTTGAAAAGTTTATTGAGTACAGTTCTACTCTGCAGCACATGGGGTCCCCGTGAGTCAGAAGCGACTCCACAAGAACTGTTTTGTTTTTGTTTTTTTTGGGGGGAGGCATGTGGAGGAGTGGATGGTAGTGATCATTCAACATTTTATGGGTGGTGTTGTTGTTATTAAGGGCTGTCGAGTTGGTTTCGACTCAGCAGCTCTGTGTAGGATTTCTGAGGAGCGCCTGGTAAGTTTGAACCGCTGACCTTGAGGTACAAACAGACCTTACCATCCAGCGCATCATTCTGTAGCACCACACCAGGGGTACTGGTGAAAATCTGGGCATCGTGACTGGCATTATTGTGGGGGGTAACGCGACTGATGTCTTGGTCATGGTCATCTAGGCCTGTTCCGAACAAGGTTCTGACTACATGGTGTGGGTCATTCAGGGTAATGAATAATGGAATTGGTCACACAAGCCTCTTCTGGGCATGCTCATTGGGAATTTTCCTGTGGGCACTTACTTCGGGATCACTCAAAGTGGGGTTGCCCCTAGATAAGCCTCAGCTCGTACTTAGGGCCACTACATGAGGACCCCGCCAAGGAATCCCTGACCTTACCAACATCAAGGGGGACAGGGACCCGTTTCCCCTGGAGTAGTCCGCCGCTGGGGGGCGCTCTCTAAGAGAGGAATCCGGTCGGCCAACATCTGCTCCCCTGGGCTCGCTGTACCTCTCTTTCCCAGCAAGATGTGGGGTTGACAGAGCGGTGGGAGTGCGTGTTTCATGGGTGTGAGACAGAGCGAGCCGCCCGGGTGTGAGTCAGCGCGGGGCGGAGGGAGGTGGGAAGGGTGGGTGCTAAGAATCTCCATGAAGAGTCACGGAATCTCACTCACGCTTGGCACCTTTACTCATGCGGTCTACAGCGTGCCCCAGTCCCGCGCGTATGCGTACATCCCATGATGTCCGATTTGGGGTGTGTGTGTCTATTTGGCGGTACAGCTGGGGAGAGGGGAGTTTTCCTGTCAGTGTTTTTATGTCCAGGTTAGATTTTCTCCCCGTCCCCGTCCCCGCCCCGGGTGGGTATGGGGGTGTGTCCGGTCAGGGTGCGTGTGTACCTGTCTGTGTGGGGGTGGGGTGGGGGTGGGTGGAGTATGACCGTGTATCAGTGTACAGGGATTACGTCTGCGCTCGGAGTATTTGTCAGCGTCTGGATATGGAAGCGATCTCGACCCGGGTTCCCACCCTGGGTATCGAGAGGCCAGTGTAGTGTGTTTGTGTGTGTGTGTGTGGGGGGGGGGGCGTGTTTCCAGCTTCCTAACGGAGTGGATGCCTCGACATTCTTCCCTCCCCGCTCCTAGCTGGTCAGGGATCTTGAGGGAGCAGCCTCCGTAGGAAGGGCCCGGGGTGGTGTGTCCCTGGGAGGAGTAAGTAGAGGAGCAGGGGCGGGCCAGGTCCCCGGGCGCGGCGCGGGCTCGGGGGACCCGAGCGGCTGACGTCAGGCGACTCCTTAAATAGAGCCGGCAGCGCGCTTGGCTCGGCATTTCTCCAGGAGCCGGAACGGGGTCGGCGCCAGCGCCACCGTTCGGTCCGCCGCCAGCCCGCACCTCCGCGCCGCCGCCGAGCGTTCTGTGCGCAGCGCTTCCAGGATCCAGAATGGGGCTTCGGGCGCTGGGCGCGCTCTGAAGCCAGTTCCTGTAAGAGCAGAGGAGCGCCTGGAGCCGCCCCGCTGCCCGGAGCCCCTGCGCCTCGGACCAGGAGATGTTGGAAGTGCCGCCGCCTGTTCGCGGAGGAGCCGCCGCCCCCGGAATCTCCGGGCATGGTGCGCACTCGGGCCACCGACGCCTGGAGAAAACGACGCCCCCTCCGCCCGACCCGCGGGTCCTGGGCCGCGTCGCCTGAGCCTCTGTGCGGCCACAGGGCCAAAGCCGCTTGGCCGCTGGTAGCCCCTCGGAAACCATGACCCCCGGCCCGCGCCCATGGAGCCATGGCCTATAGGGTCCTGGGCCGCGCGGGGCCACCTCAGCCGCGGAGGGCGCGCAGGCTGCTCTTCGCCTTCACGCTCTCCCTCTCCTGCACTTACCTATGTTACAGCCTCCTGTGCTGCTGTGACGGCCTGGGCCAGAGCCGCCTCGTCCGAGGGCCCCGCTGCCTCCGTGCTCCCAAAGCCGGCGGCCAGAAACTTCTCCCCAAGTCCCGCCCCTGTAATCCGCCAGGGCCGACGCCCAGCGAGCCCAGCGCACCCAGCGCGCCCGCCGCAGCCGCGCCCGCCCCTCGCCTCCCGGGTTCCAACCACTCTGGCGCACCAAAGCTGGGCACGAAGCGGCTGCCCCAGGCGCTCATTGTGGGCGTGAAGAAAGGCGGCACCCGGGCCGTGCTGGAGTTTATCCGGGTGCACCCTGACGTGCGGGCATTGGGCACAGAGCCCCACTTCTTCGACAGAAACTACGGCCGTGGGCTGGACTGGTACAGGTAAGAGCTGGGAACCCCACTCCGGGCGCCGGATCGCCAGTCGGCTCACCCTTGGAGCCATCTCTTTTGCTTTCTCTTCCCCTTAACCCAACTCCTTGTGGGAATTCAGTCTGGCCTTGAGAACTCGAGTAGACGGATTCATCCTGAACTTCTCAATGATTACTAAGCGGGGCACACACACAGGGTCTTCCCTGTTGTTGCTGGAGCCGCAGGAATGGAGATCTCCAGCCAAACCTCCCAGCGAGACTAGAAGATTGATTCTGTGTCCAGTCTTTGGGGTGCCGCAGGGTGTCCAAGGAAGGGGCTGGGCAGACTTGATGTGCCTGATCACAGCCCTCCCCTGACCCGCTGCAGCTCTTTCCTGGCCCCGGACTTCTGAAGAACCTGAGAAGGGGAAAGGCCCGGCAGACCCCTCTTGAGACAGGGCTCCACGCTTGGGTGAGGTGCCCATCCTCCAGACTAAGTTAGAGGCAGCCTGAGGTCTTTGAATGAATAAGTCCCCTTTTTTCTAGTCTCCTCAGTTCCGGTTACCAGAGCAGAGACTTGCAGCCTCTCTGACCGGAACCAGTCATCTTGGAGAGGTGGGGGTGAGGGTGGGAACCAAAAACCTGCATTTGAGTCTTGGCAAGTTCCTTAAACGCTCTGAATCTCCACTTTCTCTTCTACACAATGGGCAGGATAGCAGACCTTGTTCTGTCTGCTTCCCAAGGCGTTTCTACAGGACTTTGTTGTTGTTGCGTCAGTTCTGAATCCTAGCCACCCTATGTAAGGTTTCCGAGAGCAACTTGTGGGTTTGAACCGCCGACTTTGTGGTTTGCAGTCCATTGCTTATCCAACAGCGCCACACCGGGACTCCCAAAGGACATTAAAAGTGTAAAAAAGACACTTTGAACTGGCTGATTTTCTAAAGCAATAGCTACCATATACACTTTGGAATAGTGGGGACCTCAGAAAAAGATAGGCCAGGGTCCTGCCTGGGGCAGCCAGTCAGTAGTAGATTGTCCACTCTCCCATCTCACAGCCCAGAAATGGGAGTTGCGCAGACTGGTGGTGTTGGGGGGCAGACAAAAGCTCCTGTAATGTGACAGTCTCCACTCTTCAAGACCTACCTTCCTCCCTAACACTGTCTCTTACTGAAGTGCCAAATTGGCCCACATATGTGGTAATGAGTTGGGCTGCTAACCTCAAGATCAGCAGTTCGAAATCACCAGCCATTCCATGGGAGAAAGGTGAGGCTTTCTGCTCCTGTAAAGATTTAGCCTCGGAAACCCTGTTCAGGATGGCTGTGAGTCAGAACCACTGCATGTCACACCACCACCATGTAATGGTGGTTCAGGGCGTCACTGGGTTGAGATGGTGTCTGTGTTCTCCATAGTACATGGGTCATAGAATTCTTATTATTCACCGGATCCCTTGAAGACTTTCTAGAAATGTCTGCATAGTTATGGAACTGGGGAGGGGAAATGTGTTAGTTGGTGCAGTAGCTGAGGTTAATTTTTATCCAAGTAAACCCTTTACGCAATAGAAAGGTCACAGGGATATCGGGGAAAGAACGGCAACTTCATTAGAAACGGGACTCTTGTGATGGGCCTATAATAGCGGGGAAGGGCCAAGGGCCAACTTTTCACCGTTACAAATTAGCTCTGATCTGTAATGGTTGTGGTTGTGGGAACAAGGCGTGTGGCAGGTACCATGCTTAGGAGGCAGACACATAATCTATCTCCAGTGAAGCTCCAGCAGGAGAGAACTGGCCTGTGGGTGGTCCTAGCACCAGTCTGTCTGGTTAATGGGGTAGGGTGAGACCAAGTGGCCGGTCTGGCTCAGTGCCTATGCCAAAGACCCTTGGTACTTTCCAAGTTGTGACCAGCAGGCCTCCCATCTAGGTGTTCGAGGACATTGTCTAAACCAGAACCCAGGGCAAATGCCCCTCCAGGCATTGGACAGCAGAGCCAACCATAACCACACTCTGATGCATGCTAGGGTTTCCTCGATGGAAAATACGAAGATCAGTGTGAAACCAATGTGAAGTGCCTTTTAAGTGGAAAATAGCAAAAATCTGAGCATTTGGCTTTTGAATATGTTACCCTCTAATAAGCACCGGTACCCTGTCCCCATATTCTCGCGTCTCCTTCTCCTCCCTCCACCACCCCCCAATATATCCCAGGCTTTCTTCCCAGAGCCCGTGTCATTCACGGATAGCTGCTTTTTATTTTTAACCTTGGCATGTGTGATTCTAAGCCAGCTTAGCTGTGAACCTTAGAGATGGGAGCCGTGCCTTTTTTTTTTTTTTTAGCACATTTGGATTCTGCTAAAATTCTCAGCTGAGTCTTGGTAGGTTTTATTTAACATCAAGCATGCTGACAGCTCTACTCTTTCTCCACTTGCCTCCTTGTCTGAGTGTGAGTTGCCTCCCATCCCTGCTATGTATTTCTAAGGGAACACTTAGCCTGAAGGTTTGGTTACCAATCCCCATCCCCACCAGCTCTGTGAAAAGCCGGGAGCCTATCGTATCAGACGGGCTGTGTGGTTTGTGTTTCTTTCAGCATACCAGAGCCAAGGAGCTCAGAGAGTCTTGTCACCTTCGTACAAGATAGCACTGCCCCATTTGTATGCTGTTTTCATTATTTCCAGAACATTCCTCTGTATGTGTTTAATTCTTTATGATCATACAAGCCATATGCATTCATTGCAGAAAGGATGGGATTTCTGGAAGTTTCTAATATCCATGTTCTCGCTTCATTCCTGAATTCCGTGAGCTAGGTAAGGCACATGACATAGTACTCTTTTTTTCTGTCCACTCTGCTCATCATTTTACAGATGTGAAGACTGAATTCTCCCAAAGTCAAGTATGTGGAATGTGGTCACAAGGCAAGTTGATGATCTTTAGGATTCAAGTCACTGGCATACACTATCCTACAAAGATACACACACACATGCGAGTGTGCTCATGTCCAGCCAAGGGCTCTAACCATGGCCGTACACTGTGTGTACCACCAAGCCAGTGCCTGCTGAGAGGACTCGGCCGTAGTGCCTTTACACCATTGTGGTGGAGTGTGCTTTCCAAGGATGGAGTTACAGACAGTGCATCTCATTATGATTTGTCCACATCTAAGTCCCCGGGGCTCTGGTAGCGTAGTGGTTATGAGTCAGGCTGCTAATCTCAAGGTCAGCAGTTCAAAATTACCAGCAGTTCCTCAGTAGAAAGATGAGATTTTCTGCTCTTATAAAGATTTACAGCCTTAGAAACACTATATGGGGTCGCTGTGAGTTGAAGCCAACTCCATACCAACCATCACATCACCAAGTCCCCGGGGATTACTTCCTGGTTCAGGAAGCCCAAATCCAGACAAAGAATATTAAAATTAAAATGCCTTGCCATCAATTCAACAGAAAGACATCTTTCTGTTGGTTGTGGTGGTTGTTAGCTGCCATTAAGTGGACCCTGAGTCATGGTGACAGTGACCTTAGACACAATGGGACAAAATGCTGCCCCATCCTTCACCATCCCAATGATCAGTTGAAGATGAGCCCATTATGATCCGTGAGATTTTCACTGATTGATTTTTGGAAGTAGATCACCCAGGCCGTTCTTCCAAGGCACCTCTGGGGGGAGTCAAACCTGCAGCTTTTTGGTTAGCAAACGTCTCATTTAACCCTTTGTATCACCTAGAACTCATTACTAACCTCATTAACAACACCTGTGATACACCATTAGTACTATTTGTGTTATAACAATTCATTCTATACCTGCAGTGGTTACCCAATAGGATGAGGAATTAATGAATTACTATCAGCACCAACTCGATGGCACCTAACAACAACAACAACAACAACAATTATTACCAAATGAGGAATTAATGAATTGCTGGGAAAGTTGTCCCATTAATTTAAGTCCTGGCTTTGAGTTCTAGTTCCAACTCTGCCGTTAACTTCAGTGTCTTTTCTATTTTCTCTCCTTTTCCCCCCTTTCTTTCCATCTCTGTTCTACTTGATAAAAGTCAACTTCATTTTTTCCTGAGAGTCCGTTTTCTCACCTTTAAAATGGGAATCATATCTGCTCTGATTTCTAATCTTGTGAAAACCAAGAAATCTGTGTGAAAATGTTTCTCCCGATGTGAAATTATATTTAGGGTGCTGATTTACCAAGGTTTGGCTGTGAGACAGAATATTCAGTTTCTTCTGCTGTCTACAAGATTTAAGCCGGGCCATGTTCGGTAGCAGTTAGAGTCTTAGGAGAAGCTGAGTTTTGTCTGAAATGTTCCCTGTTTTGTTTTGTTTTCATTTTAGGGGTGGGGTGGGAGGCCACAAAGAAGAAGGCAATCTTCTCTGTTCACGTTGAAATGTGAATCAGAGAAAGTTACTATGTGATCGTTGACTCTCTGTTTAGGATTAAAGCATTCTGAATTTGTTCTATGAGTTTCAGACTCCATCTCACAACTTAATTTGTTCAGTATCGATGGTGTTCTTAGGAATGTAAAACAAAAAGACACAATCTTGACTCCAGGGGCAGCAGTAAGTAAGAAGGAGACTAAAGGACACAGAACAAGATCTGTCACATTATCCAGCTTGTTTTAGTCAAGAAATCAAATTCTAATAGCAAAGCCAAACTCTAGAAAGGCAGACTTCAGCAAGAAATAAAACCGCAAACAGGAGACAGGGCACACTTTGCATGAAATATTTAATGCAGTGGGCTGTGCTGTTCTTACCAAACTCACCAACACATGAAACAGACTGGTCCTCGCTCCTGAGATGTGCAGAACTGCATGCGTGTGGTGCCCTCGCGGTGACTGTCTCTATACGGAGTTTTCCTGTCTCAGTCCAGGCGGATGTCACACACTCTGATGAAAAGAAACCACTGAGGCCATAAATCCACCATCCGCCTTGTCACCCTCGCAGCTCACCGGAGATATAATAGTTAGTTCCGGAACATGTACAGTTCTTGTCAGGCACCAAGGAACATTCAGAACGGGTGAGCAAAATTGTCATCGCTCAAGGAGACT